TTTAAAAAAAAAATTGCTTCTAACCCATTCTAGAAGATTAATCACAGAATAAACTTTGAAAATACTTTACAATAAATAAATAAAAAGTAAAAAAAATCTTGAAAAATTCTTAAAATATATATATATAATTTTGGCTTTTCCTTCAAGTGACTAAGATTCATGCATGCAGGAATGTTATAGTTAATTAATAAACCTTTAATTGAAGCTCATCACATTTCAACCCTTGTAGTGGAAATCTGATTAAATCCCAATATTAACTTTAATTCCATTATTTAATTACTTTCCTTTCATGAATAATTCATGAGTTTTATTAATAATAATAATAATAATAATAACTATTTGTTGGGTTGCTTTTTAGGGTGTATTCTCATTCTGCTTGAGGATGAGTAAGATTGGGTATCGGTTAGCAAAGAAACCTACATAAAGAAAGTAAATACTTTGACGTTTAAGTTAGTAAAAACTCGATCTATGCTCTCAAATTGAGGTTTACATTACATATCTGATGTTAGCTAGGAATGATGTCTCCATTTATAGGGAGAAAACACAATAAAAGTGTCTGATCGTTCGATTGCGTTGTCAAAAAATCCATTGCACAAGATTGGTCTGTCGGATGTCTAAGATCAGAGCGTGGCAGTCCCTTCAACCAAAACCAAGTGAAGTTTTACCAAGACTACACGTTGTCCTTTGGTGAAGCTTCAAGGTCGGTCACATCATGTCTCCAAGTTACTGGGGAAAATCTTTTCCTAACTCTTCACGTGACCAAGTCTATTTTTACCTAGCTAATATATAATGTTATTGTCATTTTGCACACATTATTAGATGTCCAAGMGAGAAGTTAGAAAAAAAAAAAGAATAAAAAAAACYTTTTTTATAATACATCTCTTTTTTCTTATTATTATTATTTATCTTTTAAGTTTGAGGTGTGGAATTGAACCATTTGTGATGATATATATGTTTTATGTTCAAGTTAATCACCTCTCATAGGTTTTTTTTAGTATATCATGTGGAAGTAGGGATCAAACTCATAACCTCTTGGTTAAAAATAATGTCAATTGCGGTTGAAAAATATGCTCGCTTTGGCACCACCTCTCGTAGGTGGGAGAAAGGCAAACAACCTCATTTAAATAATTTCTCATGGATAAAGATAATAATCTTGAGAAAAAAATGGTCTGGTTCACTAACATATATTCAATAAATCTATATAATATTATATAGATTTATTGTAATTTTAAAAATAAAACTGAGATTGAATGATAATATGAAACATTAATGTAGTTATGATAAGAATTTCCATTTTTACTTTCGTACGTATATCAATTTTGATGTATCATAATATATTGTTTTATTATAAACCGATTCCTAATTACCTATATTAATATATTAGTAGTTCTATCTATATTAGTTATTTTATGCAGATACTTTTTATATTTTACCGATTTCTCTGCGAAACTAGGAAGATATCAATTTAGCATAAATTCGAACTCAAGAAATATAAAATTGTAAATGAAAAATGTAAATTAAATAACATGTCAACGAAATTACATTTGGTCTCATATAATAACAGACTCATTGTCGAAAGGGCATTTTTTACTTACAAATTGGTTTTTGTCAATAGAAGTTCCATCGCTAAAACAATCAGTTTCTTGTAGTTTTGTCGTTTCTATAGCATTTTATAAATGTGTAATAAACAAAATTTGTTATTAATTGAAAAGCAATAGAATAATTCCTCTACACTAATATAAAACAATATATATATATATATATATATGCTAAAGTATAATATATATTATGCACTTTTTCTTCCATGAAGAGACTATAGATTATTTATTCCCAATATAATTCATCACTAAGAAAATAAAATAAAGATAATTAAGAATATGGGTTGACAAAAAGAATATATTCATAATAATGGAGGGGAAGATTGATGAGCCTTTCAATTCCACTAAATCATGATTTTGATTCCTCTTTTATATCATGGAATTATTCTTTAGAATATGAAACTTTAAAGCAACACATGTATTTGTTACTTAGTGACAGAGAGGACAAAGAAAAAACAAAAAATTTGTATTTTATATATTAATATATTAAAAAAATATTTTCACTGTGTAATAAAAGGGATGTACTTTTTTTATATTAAGAAAATTACTTGAATTACTATGCTCTAATCGATTACATGTCATAATTTAACTACATGTAAATATTAATATATATTTTTTGGGTTGAATTAGTGAGATTAATGCATTAGTATTTAATTGGAGTTTATAATAATATGTATGCATCTTGAAATTTTGACATTGATATGATATAAAGTGGGGATTATTCTGTTGTTCAAACCCCATTTGCAATTTATTAAAAGGAAGAAAGCTTTTCGAAATAGGAGATTATGGGTTCCAAAATAATGGATAGATTAAAGCCAATTGGGAATTAGCATATTTAATAATAAAAAATATATATATGTACTTGGAGTGATTATTTAAAACCATTTTTTTAACCATCTGTTTGATAATTGCTTTGTTTTTAGCTTTCAATTTTATTAGAAACTATAGCTAATTATCAAAACTTAATCGTAAAGTGTTTTTATTATTTATTTTTTTATGGTATATCAAGGAAACATATACAGTAAATATTCAACTGACGAAAATATAATCAATTATTTATCTTTCAGAGTTGTTAATACTTGAATTACTCTCCATATGATTTTTACTTAATAACTATATTTCTTTTTTTATATATAAAAAAATGAAGAGTAAAAAAAATTAATAAAAGATATAATTTTAAAAGGGGTATATAATTTGGATGCATATAAATTAGCTATATATCCTCATATCTTTATATCATCAACACATAAAACTTGGACCATCTAATAGTGATAACTTTAACTGATATTTAAATTTAGTTGGTTTAAAAGTTTTTATCCAAATCTTCACACAAATATATAAAATTTGATCCTCGAAATCAAATTGAATATGATAAATTAATGCAAATTAAAAGTTGAATGTTTTTTTAGTACATCTGAATTTTGCAAAGTTTCATTTAATATCTAAAGTAATAGTTACAAATAAGTTACAAATTCTTTTCGAAGAAAAAGAAAAAAAGAAAAAAAAAGTGCCCTGGAACAAAGGGTTATTATCAAGATCAAATGAACAGCAACATTAAAATTTTGACTAACAAATGTAAGGGAAAAAAATTCAAAAATCAAATATAAGAATTTTAATATGATATCCTACTGAGATGAACGTGGAATGATGTGATATATAATTTTCATAATTATAGTGAAAATTTAACATTTTTTTATACATTTTCTGCTTTAAAATCTAAATATAATATATATCATTTGATATTCCAATAATCTATTCTTTTGAAATTTCATCTATAATGTTTTAAAACCTCCATGTATTAAAAAAATCTTTTTAACTTAAATCTACCACAAACAATATTTTGTTATTTTTCTATRTAATCATTAATTACTTTTTTGGTATAATTTGACTCCAATATATTATATTTTCGAATTAATTGGAAAAAGAAATTAGTGTGACACAGGATAAAAGATATCTTTTTAAACAAATTTTTAACTGAAAAATAATATAAAACATGTTTTTTCATCTATAAAACAACTTAAATATTTTTTTTAAGTAATCCGAAATATAAGTAGTCACAAGTGTCATAAAATCACATGCCCTTTGGATATTGTTAAAAATAAATAAATGAAATCGGTTCTATATTTAAATCCTCCTATTGATATATCTATAAATAAATTTCATTTGCACAACCAGATTTGTAATAAGAAAATATTATATATATTTTACCTTTTTTTTCCAAGCATGTCATAAGCTTGATTTTTTTTTTCATTTTATGTGATACTTTTTTATTTAGAATTCAATTCAAATTATGTTATTTGTCCAAAATTTTAAAATTGTTAATATATCTATAGATACACATTTTTATTTTTCCATTTATGGTAATTTTCCTTTTTTTATGATAAATATGGTAATTGTCTCACATAATTATAATAACAATCGCAACTCTTTAATAGGGACAATTTAACTAACAAATAAAAGTTTCAAACCTCTCCCATCTTTTGTTACTTCAAATCCAAACAAAAGAACAACTACTACCTTAAGTAATAAGTTGAGCTTTGATATGCAATTCAATCATTGATTTGTTGTTTAAAGTACCAAAAAAATATTAATCAATGAAATTAATAATGAATCTAGATGGTTTTTTAAAATAGTATTTTAAGTAGTATAAATGATTTAATTTTTTCAAAAAAAAGATGGATTTGTATCTTATCTCCAAAGCTATATTCAAAGAAAGTAATTAATGTCTTATTCATTGAACTAAAGTTTAAAATTTAGAAGAACTCCGCGAGGGAATAATTGTCCAATCTCACTTACAGAAAGTCGAAATTGAAACATATTAGTTTCGAGCTGTGAATGAATACTCTGAGATAATACGAGAAAAATTGAATTTGATTAATTAAAAATTTATAATTTGAAAATAGTATTTTAAATATTATAACTCCTAAAAGAAGTTAGATGAATTATTTGAGTGAACTTCTCTTTGAACTCTACTTTGAAGCAYGAAAATTCCAAACTAGATGTGGATGGCTTGGAATTATTTGTAGTGGGGCAATGYAACATAGACATCTAATCAGCTAAGACAAGATTGATGGGATTGTTAAATTCTCTCTCTCAAGATTTTGACGAGCTTTTATCCATTCTSGAACACGATTCAGTAAATAATAATATCTATCACAGGWACTTTTAAGGTTAAAAGTTCAATCATCACCCTCTATTTATTATTCACTTTACTTTTATCCCTCGGAACGTAATTCAACAGATAAAACATTTATTATCTTTATTTAACGTTGAAGATTCGATAAATCAAAAAATTATCTCTTTCTGGTTGGAGGGCCCCATCACATGGCCATGCAATGGATATATGAGTTTATAAAAAGCCCCCCAGCTTAAGCCTGTGGAGTTCATCAAAAATCTCTCTCTATTAATTCCCTGTTTCTCTCTCCCTCTTCAACAATGGTTTCTTTGGAGCTTGCAAGAACAGTTGTTGGTATTATAGGTAAGTAAAATAACATACAAAAAGAAATAATAATAATAATAATAATAAAGCTCCCATTTTTACAATAATAAAATAATAAAGCTTGTTTCATTTTCTGCAGGAAACATAATAGCACTTTTCCTGTTCTTGTCTCCATTGTAAGAATAACTACCCTTCAATTTTTCATTACTCCTCATTTTTCTCTTCCTATATTTTCAATGGTGGTGAGCATTAGATAGGTTTTCACTAGTCATTTATTATTCTGTTTATTTCCACAGGCCGACGTTTGTGGGAATATGGAAGAAGGGATCGGTGGAGCAGTTCTCGGCGATCCCGTACCTGGCGACGCTGGTGAACTGCCTGGTGTGGGTGCTCTACGGGCTGCCGGCGGTGCATCCCGGGAGCATTCTGGTGATCACCATTAACGGTGCGGGAACCCTAATCGAGCTCGTTTACATCGTGCTCTTCTTTGTGTTCTCTGATCGGAAGAAGCGGGTGAAGCTCGTGCTCGTGCTGCTCGTCGAGCTCGTCTTCATCACCCTTCTCAGCCTTGTGGTGCTGCTGTTCTTCCACACTCACACCAAGAGATCCATGGTGGTCGGAACCATCTGCATTCTCTTCAACATCGGCATGTATGCTTCTCCATTATCAGTCATGGTCAGTTTCTMCTCTCTCTCTAGATATATGAAATGTTTCTTTTAAGTTATTTTTTCTTTGTAGAATCTCTACTGTTTTTGTTACTGTTTATGGTTTCAAATGAGGTGATCTCAACAGATCATAAAGGAATTTACTTTATGGTTTGATTGTTTAATGTTTTAATTAATGACTGAATGATAAAAGAGTAGGTTTAATTACAAGTTTACTTGGTGAACTTTGAGAGAGTGTAAAAAAACTTTCAAACATTAAAAGTRTTAAATAAGKTTCCTATGAAACCTCTTTGATAACTTTTCTTTTTTAAGTACAAYATCAGGGGTGGGGTCGAACTCATGACAGTTAGAGATAGGTGCCTAAACCACTTGAGATATGCTTAGTTTGACGCCTCTTTGATAATGTTGTTTTTTTTCTAGTTTCTAATTTTTTTTTAGAAGCATAGTATTTGGTAACGTCCTCGATTCTTATTTTTGTTTCTTCTTTTTAATAAAGAAAAATAAATTATCATGGTCCCAAGAGTCATGGATTTAAGAATGATAAATCAAGATTTTTATTTATGTTAGAACAAATTGGAAATGAGAACTAAAAATAAGAAACTTGTTTTTATTGTTTCCAAAATTTCTATACAAATTTGAGAATGTTTTTAAAAAATGAGAAACAATGAACATAAATAGTTGTCAAATATTTACATTTCTTAATAAAATTGGAAACAAAAAATAAGAAACGAGAACAATATCAAATGGACCCTAATTATTCTTGAATCTCGAATCTTATTTTKAAGAAATGTTAGTTGTATACAGATTTTGTAAACAATCAAATAAAGTTTCTTGTTTACTGTTTCTAGTTCTAATTCTTTTAAAACATAATTAAAAGGATTATTTTATAATTTTTTACTTATAAAAGCATAATAAATATCTCATGCAAAAAAAACTTACAAGAACAAGAGACAATTACCAACCATGTTTAGTTTCTTTTTTCTTCCTAAAAATAAATAAATAACAATTACYAAATACTATTATGTTTTTCTTTATTTATTGAAAAATAAGAAACAAGAAACATGTGACGGTTAAACCAAACAATATTTAAATTTTGTGTCTAATAAGTTCGACGCTATTARACCTATTTTTTACTGATTGTGATCTATTAGAAAAAAAAAATCAATGTTCTATTAGGCAAAAGTTCAGGTAGTTCAAAACCATTAAAATTATTTTTTAAAATTCAAGGAGTACTCCTAAAAATTTATAGATTGTGCTTTTAATTTAATCTAAAAAATATTTATTCACTTAAATCTAATCATTCCCTAAAATTATAACTTTTCAGTAACAGCCAATCATGTTGATTAAACTTTATTCTAAAAAGTGTAAACCATTTTTCAGAAACACTTCCAAATTACAATTCCTAATTAACTAATTGCTACCAAAATGTTTATCCCTACCATATCAATTATTTGTGATAAAGTGAATTAATAAAAACAATACACACAAAGGCATGAGTATTTCCCCACATTTTCCTTTTGAAATTAGAAATTACATTAATTAAAATTATACTTATATCTATATATGTAGTATGATATCATCAAATGTGAAATTAATTATGATTTGTTTTTTTTTAATTTAATTTGTTGCAGAAATTGGTGATTACAACAAAGAGCGTGGAATATATGCCTTTATCACTCTCCATTGCCTCTTTTGCCAATGGTGTGGCTTGGTCTATTTATGCTTGCCTCCCTTTTGACCCTTATATTTTGGTAATCACCCTCTCTTATTTTTCCTCCTCAATCTCGTACCCTAATCTCGAGTAACAATAATTTAATTCACAAAACCCGTCCTTGGTTCAAATTCTCTCACCTTCACTTATATTTTTGTCAAAAAAGACAAATCTTATATTATAGTCCGTTATAATTGTCTATAGTGATAGTTTAATTGATAAAATCTAATTGGTTCAAAATATATAGCCTTCCGACACCCATTAGGTTTTTTTTTATTGATTTTATATTCTATTCTCTCATACCCAAGGAAAGTTTTGAAATTCTTTATACATAAAATATGAAATTTTGGGGGAAAGGAAAGGAATCATTATCTTAATGTTTCTTTTGAGTTGATTAAAAAATACCAATGGGTATGTTATATGGTATTTAATGTTAAGTTCTTAGAATTATATCCATTTGCTAATTGATACTTCATAAAATGTTACTTTTCTAAAAAAGTATAAGGTCAATGTTATAGACAACAGGCATCTAACTCACCCAAAAAAAAAAATGTTTCTCTAGAAAAATACATTTTAAATATAAGGGCATAAGTCTACTTGAATTATTGTATTTCTAAAAGTACTTCATATACCCCCAAAAATAATAATAGTAATAACTTTTTGTATTAAAAAAAAAGTCTGTTTATAGCACAATTATGTTCATTAAGTAGGAAACAAGTAACTTAATAGTTTTCTAAATGGAATATTTGTTAAATAATGTTGTAAAATGTTACTTAAATAGACCAAAAAATTATTCGATCATCTTACTAACCATACTTATTAAAATATTAATATCTTAATCAGTTGAGTTATATTTAAGTTGACAAAATATTAATATGTTCAGGCATAGACCAATCACAGTATGAATTAGCATAACCACATAATTGTTGGTGCAATTTTTTTTTTTTATTTATTTTTTTTTTGTTATTGTTGATGTTGAATAAATGAAAAAAAAATTGCAGATTCCAAATGGGCTGGGCACACTATTTGGGCTGGCCCAATTGATACTGTATGGGAGCTACTACAAATCAACAAAACTCCAAAAGGCAGAAAGGGAAGGGAAAGGGCAGGTGATTTTATCAGAGGTCATCACCAATGGATCAAAAGATCACTCATGGAAGAAGGAGGGCCTTGAGGGTGAGGTCCATGGAGCTTGATGTAATACTCTTTTTAATTCATGTCTTTTTCAGTAAATTCCCTCGTGTTTTAATTTTGAGGGTAATAACAAAAGATCATCACACAAACTAGTAGCGTAATGTCTTGACTAATTGAACTATGTTTATGTTGGTCAATCGACGGATGTAATTCGCATGCTATCAAAGAAAATGAATAACTTTTTTGTTTGGATGGTTATTTATTAATTTTGAGTATATGGGTCAATCTCAAATATCAAAGTAGGAAACATTCTTTCTTAAAATAATTTATTTACTTAAAATGGAAATTGTTTGATGGGTTGTTTTCAAATACAATGTCATGGGAAATTAAAAAAGAAAATGGGGGAAATGTAATTATTTTATTTAAGCACAACTATGATGAATTACAAATATGGAAAGTACATGAAAAAATAATACCAAGAAAAGAAAAATATACAGCAAGATTAAAATACAAATTACAAAATACCCCACAAAAATTTAATCAAGTATGGACTCAATTAGTCTCATCAGTCTGAAATTGGTAATCTTGCAACAGTCCTCTCTTTGGAACAGCTGAACAAGATCCTCTTCGTGAAATTCATTCATTCAAAACTCTCATGAGATTATCTCTAACAATTTCGAACAAATGGCCGATGAGAAATCACCAAGGTCGGGAAGTTTGAGCTCGAGCTGAAGATCACCTCTAATATAATATGATCCTAGCAATGGTTTCAATCAAGATCAGTCTAGACGTTCATATTCGGGTTTTCGACCGCCTTTTCGGTGCCTGAGATTTCTCATAAACTCAAATTCCCCAAAGTTTCAATCTTTAAACTCAACCCACCACCCTTTGAAGACCAATGTAACAGAGAAGAAACAAAAGGTCACATAGCAAATGAGAGAATCTTTACAATTCACAGGAAAAATTGTATACAGTTTGAGCAAATAATATCAATACCTAGATCTAAATCTTCACTTCCTAGTACTGCTAATACAATATATAATGAGAGGAGATGTCGACGGATTTTTCGATATCTACAACCCGACCCTCACTCCCCGGTACTCTCACAAGAACTCCCAAGATTAACAGTTAAATCATGAACCAACAATCTTATTATATTGCTACCTGATGATCTTGAGATATCTACACACTCTTGTAGGTCTGCATCGCAAGCAATGAGAACCCATTCTCGATCGTCGTCCATGTATTTGATATCAAACGTACCGACCTCCAACTTCAGTCTCTTTGCCACTTCTTCTCTTAACTCGACAATACCGGAACTCAAGGGAATCCGAAACCGAATAATATCTTCCTTATAAGTGGCCTTGATTGTCATCCTCCTTGGCTCTTGCCTAACTGATATATGAGGAACTGTGTGACAAATAGTAGAGTCCATCGGTTGTTTCAGAGCTTGATTATCAGGAGGGTTGGGCCAAGAAAATTCGAGTATTTGCTCGTCGAGGACAGCATCACCGACAGAAGCACAAAGATTTTTTAGGTCCTTGGAACTTCCTGCATCCTCGATCAGCATTCCTCCAAATGGTTCCTCGGCCTCAACCATCGCGAGTGTATCCGGGATGGGACAAGCGGGCGCCAATATGTTCAGTCTATCCATTGGATGCAACGTTACTTCAGGAGATTCTCTTCTTACACATTGTTCTTGGTGGGGAATAGAAAGCGGATTGTTCGCTACTGCTGCACTGTCGTTTGCAGGACTACCTTGGCACGAACCGTGAGAAGTAGGCGTCCCAATGCTCCCTTCCCGTGATCCACTCCCTGTTCTATAATTGTTTAAGCCATTTGCAAACTTCGGCAAAAATCCGTTCTGCTCATGAATCAGTTCTTCCGGACTCAACACACCCCTGTGTAATTGATCATCCAATCTAGCTCGTGTGTCATATGTCTGTGTTTCTGAGGTGTTTGTTTCTTTATGTTGAGGATCAGAGGGTTGAGAAGCAGCAAAGTTCTGCTGATTAGACCCATCCGGAGTTAGAGGATGAGAACTCGAACTAACAGTAACAGGAATTGGACTTGTAGCCAGAGAAGATATTCCAAATGCTCCTTCAGCCCCTTGCACAGATTCAATCACGCGTTTTAGCTTTGAAAGAGAGCGATTGACCTTGTTGATCTTCCGAGATGGCCACCGTGAGATCCCGTGTTGTCTACAGATCCGCTTCATCGTTGTAGGACAAACTGTCGATGTGGAAAAAATGTTCCAAATAGAAGTTCATTTCTGTAAGGATAGATAAGCAAAACATAGGTTTTAATCTTAAACTGCAGAATCAACAACATACCGCCGAGGCTTTTAGCAGCATCCTTAAGACTGCCAGCAAAATATTGTTGTAAAACCTCCAGACTGATTGATTTCTCGGCTTTGCCACGTTTCCTTTCAGATGGCTTTTTTACTTCCTTATTCTGTGGACAAGGAACAGGGTTGTGGTTTTCCCCCTCCCGAGCGGAATTGTTTTCGTCCTTTGCGGCATCACCAACCACAAAAGATTGCTGTTTCAATGGTTCTGATGCAGCTATCTCTCCTGCATTTGCCATGGCATCAGTCTTGGGTGGCAACTCCATAGGTTGGGGAATTTGAATGTATTCGAGTCTAGACTCGAACCCTTCATTTCCCGATGCTTGAATGACCTCGACAAGTCCTTCCTCCTCCTCAAGGTTGATTCCAGAAGCAACTTTGAGAGTGTAGAAATGCTGCTTCATCGTTGCCATTAGTGCACCCAACAAATTCTTCTGTTCCTGATAATCAACAATGCTTGGCGGCAGAAAAAACTCTAGAATGTACTCATCATCTCCAGTAAACGTGCTCCGTAAGCAGATCGAAAAACAGCTCTTTAATCCGAACATGAGTGCATAGTGTACCAAAGGGTATTCAGTCTTGCAGAATTGGGTGATATCTCCACAAAAACATGAGCTGTGGGATGAAAACGCTCTCCCAGAAACCCCTTGACCTTTTTGCAAATGATGTTCTAAACACGCCTCTCGAAAACCCCACATGTGAGCATCGACAACATAGAACGCTACCTCAGTTGCAGACATACAAATTCGTCCCATGCAACTACCATCAAAGGTAGTACAGTTTTTCTTGAAACCTCCACCATAGGCGAGTACGTTACGATGCCTGCATGGAACCCAGGTTTGAGCCAATGGTAAGTTATGAGTTTCGCATACAACTGTGAGTACCTCCAAAATTTCAGCAAGCGCATTCTGTCGACCTTCGTTGCAAATCTGGTTTCAAAAGCATTGCCAAGTACGTATCTGTGAGAACGAGCGAGAAAAAACAAACTAGACAATATTCATCTTCCAGAGTGCAATAAAGTACCAGTTTCATATATATGACTTTTCGCCACTGACCTGGTTATTCGCACGATCCAAAATCTCAGAACTTTTAAGATTGACAGCCTGCAGAAGAAGAGACTTATAGAATTAGCAAAATACTTGATAAGACATGTCATATCCTTTGTCTGGTACAATCGAAATCGAGTAGCATTAACATGAGTGCACAACACTTGATACGACACAACAAGGGATAAAACTTATGTAATTCAACAAGGGGAACAGAACTCAAACCTCAAGAGCCTTGCAGATTTTGTCCACCTCCGGTGCATAATTGATCTTCGGTGAGGTCATGATTAGCTCGAGAACACCAAGACAAGACTGCCCGGAAGGGTCGAAAACAGGCAAAGCCAAGGTCCCCTGAACATTGTAGTGAAGAGCATGACTAAGTCGTGGATACTCCTTGCTCGAGTAATACTGMACATTTGGAGTCCATTCAGGCAATTTTTGTTGATAAACACGACCAGGGAGTCCGAGATATCCATCTGGGTCGGTGTCCAGAGAAAACATAAACATCAAAGAGACCATCCTATACTGATGAAGTCCATTGCTCTGTGTATCAAGGACAAACGGTTGCCCGTAAGTAGAAAGGACAACCTTCCCATCTCTCTTAATGGGTGCCCAAACCTGAGCTAGAACATGCTGGTCAGACGATTCTTTTATGTACCGAAGGGCTTGTGCCATTTTCTCTTTAATTAGGCAATAACCATCTGGATTCTCCGATGGCGTTAGTCCCCACGACGAAGATGGAACTGGAAGAATCTTAAACTTGTGGTTCTCAGTTGGCTTTTGCGCTACAGAATTCGAATTGGAAGTACCTGCTCTCAGCTGTAAAGTTAAGCCATTTTAAATGGAAAAGAGTCCTCCTAACTAAATCCAAGAACAGAGCAATAAGACAATATCAAACCACAACTCACAATTGACAAGATAAAAACTCTTAGAAGACCAACATCCAGAAACCACATAGAGAATCTTATACTTGAATAAACAAACATATTGCAAATAAAGCCTAAAAAGGTTTTCAATCTTATAGTAGTTTTTATCCCTATTCATGAATTGTTTTTTATGTTACTTTAAATCAGCCATTTGTTTCCAGAAATTTTATGTATCAATGGCGTTATCAGACAGAAAAATTTCCAAAACTCCATTGATTGAACATAGGAAAGAGATAAAAGAAACCTGAAGATGAAAAAGTTAGAAAGTTACTCATAGTCAAAGAAGCAAAAGTAAGCTTGGTTTTCCATCCATCTGACAGGAAGTTCCTCAAATCCCCACTAACCCCAATCTCAAAAACTTAAGCTGTTAGGAATCACTCAATTTATTCTCACTTCTCAGCTCGTTCTTCCATATTCAGAAACCAGATTGGAGACAGAAAAATTAATAGAAAATCATAAAACCCACCATGGCAAAATCCCATTAAACTCCAACTTCACCCAACTTCACCAAACAAGAAATTCCAAAAAAARGGGGGGGCAAAAAGAAATCAAAATCGAGCCAAAACCCACCGAGAACAGAGCAAGCGTCGTTAACGAACTTGGAATCATGGTCATCATCAGCTTCGGAGAAGGCCCAAAGAGGGGAACCAAGATGATCGGAGGTGGAAATCAAAAAGGGGGACATGGGGTTGGAAGCAAACGAATGGATTTGATCCAAGGGCCAAGAAATGTCCAAGTCCAGATCGAAATCCATAAGTGGGGTCCTGTCGTCGGCACTGGGCGGCCGGTTACCGGACTTGGGGCAAAATCCAGATGGGTGATCGGCGTCCGGCTCGGTCATATCGTCGGAAAATGGAAGAGGGGCTGTGGTTTTATGGATGCAGAGATTTCCAAAGCGCAAAAAGATGAAGGAAAATGGGTGAGAGGTGGTGGTTGATTGGGGAGTGTGATTCCATGGAATCCAACAACGAGTTGTACAAGTTGGTTTTTGCGAGAGTTTTTGGATAAAATAAACAGATTTGATTCCGTGTTGCGACCCACTACCACAATCGATACTCCGCAGACTTTTTTGTCTCTCCCATCTCTACCATTGTGCTGGACYAGACGCTAGTGTGTAAATCAAGAGAATCATCAAGTAAACGAGAGCACCCTTCACTTACATTTCTCTAGTGTTTATGTTTTAAGGGAAATCAATGGCTAAACATATTCTTTTTATCTCAAATTATGCATTGTTGAGTGGTTTGGTTGAATAATCCACTAGATTTGACTGCATGCGCCATGATCGAAGTTGATCAGGTTGTGAAATCATAAGCATTGATGGAGAGTTGCGATTGAAGGGTCTTAAACATTAGTGTGACGTCTCTCAAATACCTTTTGAAACTTGAGTTTGTTTGAAATTGAGTTTAGTTTATTTGAAATTGAGTTTCATGGAATTTTAGYATGATAGAGAATATTGTACCTTTATTCYTCTCACTGTATATATGAAAAATGAAAGTATGTTATAATTATAGGTTTGTTGGTAAGGTTGCATCGAGAATATATACCAATCACAACCCACCTCGAGGTAGTCACCTATTATAGCTTTAGCTGTCACTTGCTTATAGGATGTCTTGGACAAGTTGTGACTATATTACGAGTGGTTGCAATGACATTGGTATCATGTAAGATAAGTCGACACTACAACTAGATGTTGGTAGGTAGGCATAGAATATGACGGCATACTACTAGTCGGTTACGTTGCCTGACATTCATGTAAGGCTCCCAACATAACCTCATTTAGCCTTTGTATCTATTCTTGGTGTTTAAGCTACAAATCACTTCAGTTAAACGGCGTCTAGTCTTACGGCCTGTCAAGTTATGTCCTACWTAATAGCTTTTGATCTCACTTGCATAAGTAAGGGTCCACTTACAAATTTCCCTAATTTGGTCTAACTTAGTACATAAAACACCAGCTACCAATACTCGCTCATATAGAGTTTTGGTTTGATTGTGCTCATACGGTCCAAGAGCTTATTTTATTTTAAATTTAATATCTACAATATACACCAGTTTTCATCTTCGTAGTTGGTGTTTCGAACCTTACTTCTTTCGGAAATGATTATAATTCGATCAGACCAACATCGGTCATCCACGACRAGTAATCTAGACATTAGTACCATTAGAAACCAGTGCTTTGTTGTTCTTAATTATTATATTAATTATTATAATATGAAGTCAACAAATTTTCAATAAATTATAGCTATTTATTAATTTATAGAAATAACTTTTGGTACTTTCATTTTCTTAAAAACAATTATGGATAATTGCAATAATTAAGCATGTGGGTTAGTGAAGTGGTCTATTTTTAATGAATACATTGGTTCAATGTGCCATCCAATGTCACAAAGCATTTACATAAAGCTATATAAACTTTACAATTTTTTACCCCTTTTTTTGGCTAATTGGACTTATGTCTTTCGTCATCAATTTTTTAAATATATGTTTTTTCCTTTTTGTATTATATACGAGAAAAAGACAAGGTAAAAACAACAATAATTAGTTGGTTTATATTAATATTGTTTATGGCAAAAAAAATATAAATTTTTGGAAAAGTTGTTAGCATTAACATTAAGATAAGCTTGGAATTATATATTAATTATAATTATTTCCTAATTGACTTTTAATGCTAAGTCTTTGAACCAATTTTGATTGGGGCACTCCAAATTATATATTGGTAATGATGGTGCTTTATTTTAAATAATATTTTCTTTTTCCCTAAATGAAGACAAAGGTGTTTAATTATTAAATAACAAAGCTGCCCACCCCATTATTATTCTCTTATGTTTTTAAATAAAATTACTTTACTCTTGGAATAAAGGCAAATTTTTAATTTATTAATTAGTGACATTGGCATATATTAATTAACATAATTCGTTTAAAAAATTAATATAATGAGAGAGCATAAAGTTTTTAGAAATCTCGAGGGAGTGTGAAGACTCTGATCTCTCCAAGATTTTTATGCTGATGAGATAGTGACTGATTTAATACTTTATTAATTGGATTTTATTTTTGGCAGTGGAAAAATATATATAAATTTTTAGAAAAAGCATATTTGTAAATTTACCACATAAAAATAATTTTTAAATATAAAAACTTTTTCTCTATCATTGTTATAGAATTTTTCTATCAATTCATAAAATATATGACTAATATATCTCATATAATCATTTATGTGATAAAGTATATTATTCATATATTAATATAAAATATATCACTAATATACCGTATTTGAATTGTTAATAAAACATATTCTTAATACATCTAATATAAAATACACATTTGTACTATTTTTTTAAAATATTTTATAGTAGGATAAATTTGTAATCATGTAGGCTAAACCCGCTATCTACTATATTTAAGCCTAAAAAAGATTTTAAAATGATCAGGTGTTTGAAAATTTTGTTTTAGGGTTCACGTCTGTATTCTACTGGTCCAAAATTTTAAATYTTTTTCTTTTTTTAGGAAAAAAATGAAAAACTATATGAGAAGATATCTTCTAAAAATAAAAAATCTTTTAACTTCTGGAATCACCTTGAAAAAAGGAGTATGGACTGATTACCACTAAAATATGTTCAYGTTGGTGGAAAATCTTAACTTTGAATATGAAACTATATGGTGTGTATATATTTGYCATATTATATTATCTAATTCTATGACAAAAAAAAAACATAAAATTTTATTTGAGTTACAAGGTCTCATTTCATAAATTATTTTATTTTTTATTTTTTTAAAATTAAACTTATAAATATTATTTCTACTTGTATTTCTTCATTTTTATTATTATTTTTAATTATTTCAAAATATTAATTTGTAAAAAATTATTTTTATCTTTTAAATTTTACTAAAAAAGTCAAATGTGTATTTTTAAGAAATGTGAAAAATATCAAAAATAAAATGAAAAGATGGCGAAGAAAATTAAATAAGCTAATTTTTAGAAATAGGAAATTAAAAACACAATGGTTACATAACAGAGCTTAAATAAACAAAATTCAAGTTTAAAAAAAAGTAGAAAAAGTTTTTAGGGACAGGAATGAAAGAATGGATAGAAATTTTGAGACAAAAACCATTTATTCGTATATTAAGTTTTATCTTATGAAAAGGTAAAAAGAGATTAATTTTTTTCTTTTTGAGTTCAACAGAGGTAAGTAATAGATGTCTAATTTTACTGAGTTAAATTCAGAATAATAACCGACTCTTAAATAAATCTTAATTTTTTAATTTTTAAAGACATCTAAGATTATTCAAAATATTTTCCAAGGTACTCAAACCCACAAAGAAAATTATCAAGCATACTTAAAAAGGGAGAAAAAAAATGATTGTGAACCAATTCTTAATATGCATAGGCAAACCAAAATATAATTGAGTGGTTATCAACTTGAAATTCCAACTCCATTTGTAGAACAAAATTTGTAATACACATAAAAATAGAGTTTGGTTGATATTTTGCAAAAAAAATTTAAAAGATATTATTTTAAAGCTCTTTTGTCTCATTTAAGAAAGAGATTGAGATTCCTTTCTCTTAGCCCACTTGTTTCTTCAACTTGAATATGGTGCTTTTCTTTTGTTACCACCAACCTTTTTTATATAATTTTTATTTTGACTATTTTTATTATTATTATTTTCTTCCTTTGATGTGGGAAAGCTCCAAGGAGGTGTGGCTGTCAATGGTTTTAGGGTTCATCCATATCCTCAGACAAAACTATGTTTTCTTGGATGAGTTAAAAACATCTTATAATATATATATATATATATATATATATAATGTTTTATATGGTGTAATTAAACAAGAATGATGTATGACATATGAAAATAATTAAAGGATTCGAGGACTATTCAATTCTTAGATATTTTTTTCGATAACTCATGAACAGGGTATTAAATTTCGGCTCAACGTTTGTAAATATCAATGGATTTGACATCAAGCTGCATTGTTCGCCACTATCCGAGAAGCAAAAGATTCGAGAGTCCAAACTGAAAATACATGCGCATAGATAGTGGTCTAATGACAAGGGCCGACGATGGAAGCTCGGGACAGAGCCGTATAATGCGGAAGTCTCACGTACGGTTCCCTAAAAAGGGAGTGRCTACTACCTACTGGAGCTTCGACCAACTACCATCGGTCAATTCCGCTTTGGGGCCACCCCTTACTCTACCATTATTATAGGGGTATGGGGTTCGAGACAAAGAAAGATCAAGGCAGCATATCAGTTTTTCCTTTATACTTTACTGGGATCCGTTTTTATGCTATTAGCTATTCTGTTGATTCTTCTCCAAACAAGAACCACCGATTTACAAATATCATTAACCACAGAATTTAGTGAGCGACATCATATCTTTCTATAGATTGCTTCTTTCGCCTCTTTCGTCGAGAGATGAATCAACATTTCTGTAGTATTGCTGAAAATTAACAAAATAATGAAAGGTATTAACAAAATATTATTAATATGTAGGGACTTATCTATTAATTAAAATATTTGTTATGAATTATTTTTATAAATATTTTTAAGGATGTCTTYCAGTATCAACATTTTATCCATATTGGAAATGCCAATATTTAAAACCTTGCTCAATAGCTTTTTTTTTAAAAAAAAAAATCTTTTCTCTCGAGAGAATAGCTTGGAGAATGTTTATGAAGTCACAAATTTTTTTGTGTGCACTTCAAATTATTGTTTAAGAATAATTTCCCTAAACAATCGATTATTTTGTCAAATTTTAGTCCTATCTAACCTATAGTATTTGATTTCTCTTTATTTGCTCACTTAAAATATAAAATAAAAAAATGCATTTAAAAGTGCTATATGTCACTAAGTTTTAGTAAATAGATTTTTTTTTTTCATATGTTGAGAATAGATAGAATAAAAATTATAAATTTAACCTAATCTATCATCTCTCTTTTTTCTTTTTCTTCTTTAAAATACCTGCCTTCAGATTTTGATTTATTTTT